AAAAGTTTCCATGTCAATGCTAAACCTTACAAAAGTGTTTTAAAATAACTAAGGAGCAAGCTAGACAAATAATAAAACAATGTCAAAATTGTGTGACCTTTTTACCACAAGTTAATCTTGGAGTCAATCCTAGAGGATTGATACCTAACCATATTTGGCAGATGGACGTCACACACTTGCCAGAATTTGGAAAATTACAATATTTGCATGTTACAGTTGATACTTCTTCTGGATTTTTGATGGGCTCCCTTCATGCCGGAGAAAAAAAACTATAGATATTATAGCTCATTGCTTACAAAAGTTTGCCACTGTGGGCATTCCAAAACAGTTAAAAACAGATAATGGTCCTGGTTATACTTCTACCTCTTTTAAAAAATTTTGCTCATCATTTGGCATTACTCATATAACAGGAATCTCATACAATCCACAGGGACAAGGCATAGTTGAAAGAGCTCATCAAACTATTAACATGTACTTATTAAAGCAAAAAGAGGGAATTGGAAAGGGGTATATATCCCCCAAAGATAAACTTAAAATAACCCTTTTTACTCTAAACTTTTTAAATTTGGATTCATCAGGGCTTAGTGCTGCAGAAAGGCATATGTATCCAAAAAATGTACATAAGCCTTAGGTACTTTGGAAGGATATTCTAACAGGACAATGGAAAGGTCCTGACCCAATGATTGTTTGGAGTCGGGGTTCTGTTTGTGTGTTTCCCCAGGGAGAACAGCAGCCGATTTGGATTCCAGAGAGACTAACCAAAGCGATATCTACAGACCAAAAAGAAGATGACTTGGCTCAAATCCATAAGAGCTGATATCCAGAGCTCCAGGTTGGCTATTCTTACATCTGCGACAGTGATTCTCCCACACCTGGAGGCTAATGAATGATGAACATCATTAAGGCCTATTTCAAATGTAAAAAACCTTGGGGCTTTCTTGTGGGAATACCTTCAGTCCCATATGCAAGTTACAGAAAAAAAGGATGGGATATCAAAAGAAGAGTCAAACCTAGGTAGTAACCAGGATGCTTTTTTTCAGTATCTATTTTATTATTGCCCTTTCCCACATCATAAAGTTCTATTTTATATTTTGAGCTCATACAGACCTAGGTTAATGTTTTTCTGATGAGCTCTATTTTTTGACTGTGGAGTTTTTAAACATTGCAATGGAGATTTCACCTGTGTAAAGCTACAAGGCCTTTACTATTTTCTTATGTGTTGTATGTTTGTGTGCACACTTGTGTTTTGTGTTGTATGTATGTATGTATTTCCATATATCATATTTGAGGAGCGCTCATGAAAAAAATGCATCCTTATTTTTTTTATTCACGTGATTTAAAATTTTTAATTTAAATTGGGTAAACAGCTGTTGAAGATTGTTTTAATATGTGAACAAATAAGGAGGTTAACAAGATCTGTTTGTTTACTTTCACCTTTCCTTTTCATTATATTTAATAATTCTGTTCAGGATAATGTAAATTGCTCAGAAAATTGTTATCTTAGTACCTGTTGGAATGTTACATATTTTTTTTTTACCCATCATTGCCAGAATTCCTATCTTCATCCTAGTGCCAGTGAAGACAAAGATAAAACCAATGTTTTGATAGCTATCACAGTAAACTGTATAAACTGATGCATCAATGAATAATAACTCAACAAGTAATGCTCAATCAAGGAGTTGATTTACTTTGGGAGGAAATGGACATATTAATGGATTCCTCTGCTTTGAACTGCTTGTAGAACTTGCCTGGACTATGTATTACTTGTATGCATTGTGAACTATCTGTTGGTGCAGCGAATTGTGTTAGTGCTGGGGTATCTTTGCTGATGATGACATCGGTGCTACAATTTTTCCAAAAAGAGCTGTCATTTGGCTTGGTGTCATGGCATTTTGCATCCTCCTCCCTTCTGCTAGTGATGTTCTAAAATTTGGGGGCCAACAGAGGTGAGGCAAAGAACCTCACCCCCCCACTGGCACCAAGGGTAAATTTGGGGGCCTACAGAGGTGAGGCAAAGAACCTCACCCCACACTGGTGCAAAGGCCTATCCACAAGTATAGCTGTGTGCTGGACCGGTAGTCAGTGACAGGTAAAGATCCAATTGCAGTGGTACCAACCTAAGACAGGAGGCTAACGTCTTGCGGTCAGCTCATCCGATGACGGGTAAGGACCATATGTGTATTGGACAACCTAACAGGCACAGTCCTACGCCACATTGGTTGTTGTTTAATTATACAGTAGCGGGGAGACACTGAGAGCCACAGCTGAGTCGGAATGGCCCCTGGCATTTTGCCAATAGTATTGGTTGAGAGGCAAGCCATTAAAATGATGATGGATTGATTTGGTTATATATTAGACCTTTACTCTCCACCTCGGCCTGCTACTTTGTTGTTCTCGTGCTACTTTAGAGTTCTAGTGGGGATTCCCAGAGAGTTCCCATTGGTTGGGGATGTGTGGGAGAAGGGATTTCCGGAAGAGGGATTTTCCGGTTGTTGGTTCCTGGAGGAGCCGCGTGGCATTCGTGAGGATTCCTGGGGAGTGTGTGTGGAGTGTGCTGGTGGAGTTCAGAAATAAAGTTTGTTCCTGCTTAAGTGGTTCGTGATTTGTGCCCAGCCAGACTGTGGCAGTTTGTAATCTCATTCTTTCACTTCTTTGATAATATTCCTAAATAAATTCTGTATTTTAAAAGAATTCATGATTGATTACATAGGACTTTCTTCCTAGGTATTATGTTGTTTTTTCTAGTGGTGTTCTCAAGATTCCCTTTTTGTAAATTTTCAAACTTTGATTAGAATGTGGTTTGAGTTTGTCTGTATTTCACACTTGTAGATTATTGAAATTTTGGACTGTAGTTTCTGTTTTATTTCTCTTAGTTAAAACTTGCCACACCTATATGTTGGTACAGCAGGTGGAACGTAAAGTTGATTTACTACTACTTTCTATCCTTAGCTGTTTTCAAATATTTTTTTACAAGATATCACTAAGTTTCTGAGACTGCCTTCCACTTATAAACTGTTTGTCTCAAGTCAGCTATGCATAACCACCCCTGACTCTCTCAAGCACTGTTCCTTAAGAAATTTTTCACAAATACTATTTTTATTTATTTCTATTGACAGTATTTCTCTGCATTTAGCTCATTAAACTTCTTTCTAATGGTTATTTTTTGTTTGGTCAATTTTGTCTCTCACTATCATAATGTTCAATTCCTAATATATTGGTTTTTGTTTGTTTTAATTAGTTATACATCATAGTGCAATGATCTTGACATATCATACATTTGAATCAGAAGGGATATAATTTCTCATTTTTCTGAATGTACAAGTTGCAGAATTACATTGGTCATGCAGTCCCATATATACCCACAGCAATAATAATGTCTATTTTATTCTGTTGTCTTTCCATTCCCCCCTTCCACTCCCCTCCCCTTCCATCAATTCTCTCTACCCAATGTAATGTGACCCACTTCTTTTTTTGCCCCTTACATCATCATACAGGTATTCTGTGTAAGGAAGGGGTCTCCTTCCCTCCCCATGCAATTCACATTCTCCCTCCCTTTCCCTCCCACCTCTCTTTCCTATCTAGAGGTAATTTCTTCATATGCTCTTTCTCCCTACCCCATTTTAAGTCATCTCCCTTATATAAAGTATGTTGACATCCAATTCAAGTCTTAATACATGTTATTTGGATATTGATTTCCATCACATTCCACTGCCCTTGCTAATCCCCTACCCTCTCCTTTTCCCTCGCACCCTCTTCCCTATCTAGAATTTATCTAATCCTTCCATGTTCCCCCTCCCTACCCAACTATGAGTCAACCTCCTTATATCAGGGAAAACATTTGACATTTGTTTTTTGGAGATTGGCTAACTTCACTTGGCATAATCTTCTCTAATGCCATCCATTCCCCTGCAAATGCTATGATCTTATTCTTTGTTAGTGCTGAGTAATATTCCATTGTGTATAAAGGCCACATTCTTTTTATCCATTCACCCATTGAAAGGCATCTAGGTTGGCTCCACAGTCTAGCTATTGGGAATTGTGCTGCTATAAACATTGATGTGGCTGTGTCCCTGTAGTATGCCATTTTTAGGTCTTTTGAGAATAGTCCAAGAAGAGGAATAGCTGGGTCAAATGGTGGTTCCAATTCCCAGCTTTCCAAGGAATCTCCATAGTGCTTTCTCTTGCTGAGAAGAAAGTTTTTAGTTTGAATTCATTCCACTTGTTGATTCTCAGTTTTAATTCTTGTGCTATAGATGTCTTATTAAAAACTTGGGGCCTAACCCCACGTGATAGAGATTAGGGCCTACTTTTTCTTCCATTAGACACAGTCTCTGGTTTGATTCCTAGATCCTTGATCCATTTTGAGTTAACTTTTGTGCATGGTGAGAAATAGGGATTCGATATCATTTTGTTCCATATGGATTTCCAGTTTTCCCAGCACAATTTGTTGAATGCTACTCATTTATCTTGATTGCCATCTGTTAGCTTCATTTAGGAAATATGGGTATAGTCTGCCAGGTATTTAATGCCTCTCAACTTGGTTTTCATGTTATCTCCAGATCTCTGTGTAATAGTAGAAGAAACCAGCTTTCAAACAATCCCAAGAAAACCACAAATGTTTGCATTTTTAATATATTTTCTTTTTTCTGCTCAGAAAATGGAGATGGTAATTTTTTTGTATACCTTCTCAATGCTATGCTATAGACATGGATATAGTGTGGTTGATAAAAATACACGTTTCTTTTCCTCTAATATATTTCTCTTAGTAATGTTCTCATCTTGGATATTGTGATCTCTGAGATGGTTTGGGCAGTTCCTACAAGGTAATTAGTCTGTACATTTTTATTTAGTTTAAATGTATTAGGAATAATAATGTGTTTGGATTTTGTATTCTGCTACCCTCCTGGTGTCAAGACATTGATATGATTTCATATGTGATAATACAAAACATTTATTCCTGATTAGTAGGTAAAGTAATTACCATTTTTTTTATATTTCAGCCATGACTTCTCATAATTCCCATGAATTTTCAACAGAAGAGGATATAAGGAATGAAGAACATAACATTAACTGTTTACAAATAAGGAAAATATGGAAAACTGAATGTGAGAATGAAAGTCAGAAATTTTATAATACGGGACAAAATGAATTAGCTGTGAAGGTTTGTAATGAAAATTACACTGTCGGGGGACATCAAGGACATTTAATATCTCAGAAAATAATTCAACATAGGCCAGTCACTTTTCAGGAGTTATATGTATCTTTACAAATAAGTGCCCAGCAATTTTTGGAGCATATATATTTTCTTAATGAAAATGTGGAAAATGTGAAAAGAAATCTAGTTCACGTTTCAACTTTTAACTTCACTAATTTCAAAGATAACACTGATTTAAACTTCCAGTCAAACATTTCAATAGACAAGAAATTTAGTACTGAAGGACAAATTTCTAAAGGAGATCATTTTGAGAATCTCTCTACTAAATATCCATTTTTCTGCAATAAAGAAATAATCTCTGCGTATGCCAAAACATGCAATTTTAACAATTGTGAGAAAGTCCACACTTACTCATTATTTCTTTCTAAACACCTGAGATGGCATAGTAGTCACAATACCTACAAATATAAAGAATGTGACAAAGCTTTTGTTCAAAGTTCATTTTATACTGAACAGCAAAAAATTCATATCAAAGAGAGATTCTGCAATTTTAGAGAGTATGACAAATCCTTAAATAATTATGTAAAACTTTCTGAATTTCAAAATCTTCATATTGGAGAGAAGCCTTACAAATGGGAAGAATGTGGCAAAGCTTTTTATCAAAAATCACACTTTATTCTTCACCAGAGGATTCATACCAGAGAGAAAGCATACAAATGTAAAGAATGTGGAAAGGCTTTTTATGAAAGAATCTCACTTACATTTCACCTGAGAAATCATACCAGAGAGAAGCTCTATAAATGGGAAGAATGTGGCAAAGCTTTTTATCAAAAATTACACCTTGGTTGCCACCAGAGAATTCATACTGGAGGGAACCCGTACAATTGTAAAGACTGTGACAAAGCTTTTCATGTAAGAAAATTACTTATTCAACACCCAAAAATTCATGCTGGAGAGAAATCCTACAAATGTGAAGAATGTGGCAAAGCTTTCTATCAAAAATCACACCTTATTCGCCACCAGAGAATTCATACTAAAAAGAAGCCCTACAAATGTGAAGAATGCAACAAAGTTTTTTATGTAAGAAAATTACTTATTCAACACCAGAGAGTTCATGGTAGAGAGAAGTCCTACAAATGTGAAAAGTGTGGCAAAGCTTTTTATCGGAAATCACACCTTATTCGCCATGAGAGAATTCATACCAGAGAGAAACTCTACAAATGTGAAGAATGTATGGAAACTTTTTCCCACAGATCAGAACTTTTTCGCCACCAGAGAAGTCATACTGGAGAGAAGCCTTACATATGTGAAGAATGTGGCAAAGCTTTTTATCGAAAATCACATCTTATTCGCCATGAGAAAATTCATGCCAGAGAGAAGCCCTACAAATGTGAAGAATGTATGGAAACTTTTTCCCGCAGATCAGAACTTTCTAGCCACCAGAGAAGTCATACTGGAGAGAAGCCCTACAAATGTGAAGAATGTGGCAAAACTTTTTATCGAAAATCTCACCTTATTCGCCATGAGACAATTCATACCAGAGAGAAGCCCTACAAATGTGAAGAATGTGGCAAAACTTTTTATCGAAAATCTCACCTTATTCGCCATGAGACAATTCATACCAGAGAGAAGCCCTACAAATGTGAAGAATGTATCAAAACTTTTTCCTTCAGATCAGAACTTTCTCGCCACCAGAGAAGTCATACTGGAGAGAAGCCCTACAAATGTGAAGAATGTGGCAAAACTTTTTATCGAAAATCTCACCTTATTCGCCATGAGACAATTCATACCAGAGAGAAGCCTTACAAATGTGAAGAATGTATCAAAACTTTTTCCTGCAGATCAGAACTTTCTTGCCACCAGAAAAGTCATACTGGAGAGAAACCCTACAAATGTGAAGAATGTGGCAAAACTTTTTATCGAAAATTTCACCTTATTCGCCACGAGACAATTCATACCAGAGTGAAGCCCTACAAATGTGAACAATGTATCAAAACTTTTTCCTGCAGATCAGAACTTTCTAGCCACCAGAGAAGTCATACTGGAGAGAAGCCCTACAAATGTGAAGAATGTGGCAAAACTTTTTATCGAAAATCTCACCTTATTCGCCATGAGACAATTCATACCAGAGACAAGCCCTACAAATGTGAAGAATGTATCAAAACTTTTTCCTGCAGATCAGAACTTTCTCGCCACCAGAGAAGTCATACTGGAGAAAAGCCCCACAAATGTAAAGAATGTGGGAAAACTTTTTGTCGAAAATCGCACCTTATTCGCCACCAGAGAATCCATACCAGAGAGAAGCCCTACAAATGTGAAGAATGCAACAAAGCTTTTTATGTAAGAAAAGTACTAACACAACACCAGAGAATTCATGCTAGAGAGATACCCTGCAAATGTGAAGAATGTGGCAAAGCTTTTTATCAAAAATCACACCTTATCCGACATGAGAGAACTCATACTAGAAAGAAGCCCAACAAATGTGAAGGATGTATCGAGACTTTTTCCCGCAGATCAGAACTTTCTCTCCACCAGAGAAATCATACTGGAGAAAAGCCCTACAAATGTGAAGAATGTGGGAAAACTTTTTATCAGAAATCACACCTTATTCGCCACCAGAGAATTCATACCAGAGAGAAGCCCTTCAAATGTGAAGTATGTAGCCAAGCTTTCCGTCAAAAATCACACCTTATCCACCACCAGATGATTCATATGAAAGAGAAGCCCTACACATCTGAAGAATGCAACAAAGCCTTTTATGTAAGAAAATTACTTACTCAACACCAGAGAATTCATGCTAGAGAGAAGTCATACAAATGTGAAGAATGTGGCAAAGCTTTTTGTAAAAGATCCCAACTTATCCACCACTGGATTATTCATACTGGAGAGAAGCCCTACAAATGTGAAGAATGTATGAAAACTTTTTCCCATAGATCAGAACTTTTTCGCCACCAGAGAATTCATACTGGAGAGAAGCCCTATAAATGTGAAGAATGTGGCAAAGCTTTTAATCAAAGATCACACCTTATTCGCCATCAGAGAATTCATACCAGAGAAAAGCCCTACAAATGTGAAGAATGTGGAAAAGCTTTTTATCAAAAGCCACACCTTATTGAACACCAGAGAATTCATACTGGGGAGAAGCCCTACAAATGTGAAGAATGTAGCAAAGCTTTTCATCGGAGATCAAACTTTATTCGCCACCAGAGAATTCACACTAGAGAAAAGACCTATAAATGTGAAAAATTTGGTAAGTCTTTTTATCAAAGGTCACACATTATTTGCCACCAGAGAGTTCACAATTGATAGAAGCCATACAAATGTGCACAATGTGGCAAAATTCTTTTTAAAACATCAGACTTTGTTCATTACCACAGTATACATATTGTCGATAAGAACAACTAATGTGAAGAATGTGGGAAATCTTTTAATCAAATATTTAAGCTTTATGAATATTTAAGTATTTGTACTGTAGAGAAGCCCTATTAATGAGAACATGTGCCAAGCAGAGGAATCAGCAGAGAAAAGTTAATAAAATATAAAAAAAGTAACAGTCTATATTAGTTTTTGGCAACTTACTCAGCAACTGAAAAGGTATAAATGGAGAAACTCTTATAAGTTCATAGCTATTGCTCATACATTACGGAAGACTAGGAAACTCATAGTGCAAAAATTTAAATGTGTCCAAGTCTTCATTCAAATATCCAACTTTCTTCAGCATTTGAAACCCAATAGTGAAGGTGGAGCAACATTTATTCAACTTATATATATGCCTTAGATATGAATCAAATATTTACAAGAAATTTTAAAAACTTAGCAAATATTTTAACAGCATAATAAATCTCTATCTTTACTTCATATCTTGATGTATGTGAGAATTTTTAAGAAAGAAAATTATTTTAATATATAAAATGGGTTATTTCTTCAATTTGATTGCAATTTATTAAACATCATTAGCTGATATGGTAGAAGTAATGAAATTTTTAAAAATATTTTAGTATAGTGCACATAGCTAATCTCTGAAAGGATATCAATGTCTTATACTTCAACAATGATTACTTAATACCCACTTTTGAAAATGACAGAAAACTACTCACATAATTGATTATATCAGAATTTCTTTTCTTTTTTCTTTTTTTTTTTTTTTGCCTAAATTTTTATTTTTTGTACTCTGAACTCAGGGGCACTTAACTACTGAGCTACATTACCTGCTTTTTCTTTTTAAATTTAGGGTGTCACTATGTTGCTGAGGCTGCCTTTGAATTTCTGAAACTCTTCCCAATTCACTAGGATTGCAGGGATGTGGGCCACCACATCCACCTTAGAATGCATTTTCATATATTCACAATTTTTTTAACACTAACAAATTGAATAAGTTTATTTCTTAAAATGTCAATTATTAAATCTAGTAGTATATTAGAAATAGAATTATGTATAACCAAATAGGATTGACCATGGGACTGTAGAGTAGAAAAAACTATTAAGATAGTAGATCCCAATGCAAATTAAAGGATTTATGATCCTTTTTGTGAATATCAGATACAATAGATAAAATTCAACACATGCTACTAATTAGAGTCTCTATAAACTGAGTCTTTCATGAATGTCATTAAGAACCTCTACAATAAACTCTATCATGTATGATGGTGAAGTGTTATAGAATTAAGGTGCCCAACATTATCAATTTTTCTTATTATTTTCCTGTTTTTTTTTAATATTTTTTTTTGTTTTAATTAGTTACAAATGACAATAGAATGCATTTCATATATCATATATAGATGGATACAATTTGTCATTTGTCTCTACATGCTGTAGAATTATGTTGGTCATGTAGTCACATATATACATATACTAATAATGTCAGTTTCATTCTACTATCTTTCCTAACCCCACATCCCTATCCTTCCTGTCTCTTCACTTCCCTCTACCTAATCTACGGTAACAGTATTCTTCCCTAATACATATTCATATTTTGTATGTGAGTTGTTTATAAAGGTCAATGGTTTTTAATAGACTAACATTGTCATGTATTGAGTCACATTTATGTCACAGATATTACTCTATTCCCTTTTATTAAAGGCTCTAGATAACATACATACTATTTGATACATAGTGTTGTAATCTCTCCTTTAATTATTTTCAACACTTTAATTATACCTTAACATTGGAAGGATATAATTTGCATAAACCAGATTTTTATACTTTTAGTTTCTAATCATAGAGAAATGGACAGGGTGTATCATCATGAAAGTTAAGGCCCATATATCAGAATCTTGAATTTCAACGTTTACATTTACTTTCTTTCCTAAAAAATTCATCATACCATAAAAAATGTACATGCTCTCCTCAAACTAGGGTGTCATTTCTTTGAAAAAGATTACTTGTGTCCGTATTTGCTACAAATAAGCTTTGCTGTATATGAACATTATTTTTCTTTCTGGTTTTGGAGGTTTTTGGTTTTATATTACTTTGTTTTTCTTATGGGGTTGAAATTCAGGACATCACACATGCTAGGCCAGTGGTCCATTTCTGAACTACACCCTCCGCCTAGTGGCAACTATTCCAATTCAATTCCCCCCAAGAAGTGAATCCACTGAGTTTGGTAACCAAAATAATCAGGTAAGCTCATAGAACTATGAATCTCTGGCTACACAATGAGATACAAGACTAGCATGACATGAGGAGTCAGGGCTTATTCATTGTGGAAAATAAGAAACATCTTCCTACCAGGCAATAAAATTTTTCTTCCCATTCAGAAATAATGAGGGAGCATGGCATCATCTGCCTTTGGGCACCTGAAACAATGAGCCCTTTTCAAAATAAAATTCACAGATACATCAAGATTACTTCTTGCCTTGCATACTTTAGGAAGAAAGTATCCAAGACCTACTGTCATAACATCTCTCTGATAACATTCATAGACTTTGGTGTATAACTCCACAGGCCAATTGTGCAACCTTAGTATATAAATAAATGAAACAGTATTTCCAGCTGTTTTCACTTTGTGTTTTTTACCTCCATATTCCCAGATTTGAGCCTGGAATTCTGGCTAAAATGGGGCTGATTCTTGAAGACATTTTGCTATGTGACATAAGTCAGGGAAAAGTCAAATACTCTCCATTCAAATTAAATGAGATATATGGAATACCAATTTTATTCATTGAAAATAGAGTGATGGTTATCAGAAACTGGTTGAAGAGAAAGATTGAGAGTGTTTAGAGCTCATTGGGTTTCTACTTGGGGTGACTAAAAAGTTTAACTTCGTTAGTATGGATATGCAGTTATGTGAATGCACTTAATGCCATTTATTATGCTTAATACGGTTTAAAGAGAGAAATGGCTGAAAGGAGAGTACCAGACATAGCAGCGTATGCCCAGTGACTCAGGAGACTGAGGCAGGAGCATCTCAAGTTCAAGGCCAACCTGAGTGACTTATATGGATAATATAATTTTAAAAATGATAGAGATGAAATTCTGTGTTAGAGTGCCCTGTAGTTAAATCTCAATCCCTCCCCTCCCCTCCCCTCCCCTCCCCTCCCCTTCTCTCTCTCTCTCTCTCTCTCTCTCTCTCTCTCTCTCTCTCTCTCTCTCTCTCTCTCTCAGAATTGATCTGGTTCACGATTTGCAAGCACTGTATCACTGATTTATGTTTGCTTTTATTTTTGAAGTGGTATCTTGCAAAATTTCTGAGGCTGACCTTCAACTTGTATTCCTCCATTCTCAACTTATGAATACTCATGACTACAGGAATATAACACCTTCCTAGCTCAGAATTGTGTATTTCAAATGATGACTGTTATGGTATATAAATTAAATGTAAATTTAAAGAAGGAAGGAATCATGGTTGTGTGTCAAGGGGTACTGTGTGGTATTCCATCCAATGTTTATATTATGATTTTTTCTATCACAGTAAACTGTATAAACTGATGCATCAATGAATAATAACTCAACAAGTAATGCTCAATCAAGGAGTTGATTTACTTTGGGAGGAAATGGACATATTAATGGATTCCTCTGCTTTGAACTGCTTGTAGAACTTGCCTGGACTATGTATTACTTGTATGCATTGTGAACTATCTGTTGGTGCAGCGAATTGTGTTAGTGCTGGGGTATCTTTGCTGATGATGACATCGGTGCTACAATTTTTCCAAAAAGAGCTGTCATTTTTGCATGGTCTATTTGAAACAATGGTGATATGAACATAAATAAAATTAATTTCAGATCAATTTGTGTGCTTCTGAGCTTCCCCATAAATGTCATATCTCAGTAGTCTGAGGTACAGAGTGTGAGTTGTGATACCTCAGTAGACTGAGGTACAGAGGTTTTGAGTGCATGGTGCTTTCCCCCTCTGCCTCAGGTACTTTCTCAGTTACATGAAGGGACCTGCAGGAAGTTTGCTTTTGTATTGTCAAATTGTTTTGTCAGATGTCACAGCAGTTAAAATTAAATGTGTCCTGTATTACCCTGAAGCATCAAAACAAAGTGCAGGGAGTTAGGAACTAGATGAGCAGTCAGGAAATTCAGACCACTATTTTTTTTTTTCTACATGCGTATGTGCAATCAATTTGATAATAGGAAAGCCTTAGCATTGATGCACACATTAAGCAATGTGTTTTTAACAAAATACTATCCTCTAAGACTGAGGATGTAGCTCAGTGTAAGAGCATGTGTTTAGCATATAAAAGAACCTCAGTTTGTACCCCAAATGCCGCCCCAAAAAAAAACAACTGGAGAGCAAAGGGGATATGAGGTCCCTCTCTTAGAGATATTGCATTTTCTCTTCCTCTTCTAGTGTTTTCTGTACTAATAAATTTTGTCATCTTTTAACTGAATTTTATGTCTTATCTGAAATTCGCTTCTGCAAGAATAAAAGAGCCAAGAAATGCAATGCAGCCATCCAATTCCTGGGGCCACAACCAGCAACAATACTAGTCCCTTTTTATTTTTTATTATTTATTTTTAAATTTTAAACAGTGTCTTGCTTAGATGCCAAACTGGCCTCAAACTTGTGCTTCCCTTGAATGAACTCCCGCTCCCAATAGAGGCATGTGCCACCAAACCAATTTTTTGTGTGTGTGCAGTATTTTAAAATACTCATTTTTGGTGGCTACTTTCCCTGTTGATTAATGTGATACTAGAACTCAAAATATAAAAAGCACAATTCCAATGCTAAAGTCTAACTGTTGGTATGTAAGGTTATGTTATGGGAAGAGAATCTAGGGAGAAATAAAAACATCAACTCAGAAAAAGTGGTGTGCATTGTAGAAAAGATTTTTATCATTTATCATTCCAGAGATTTGGACAGGTCTATGTAACAATGCAGATACACATTCAAGGAAGAATGTGGAATATCTCCAGATCTAGAAGTCAGCAAATTCTTGGTCTGTGGTGTTGCTATATATAGAGAGAGACATTTGATTGGAGTGGATTAAAGGTAGCTTCATAGCAGAATTACATGATTTGACCCCAGTTTTTCTTAGTTTGCTCATTTTGTTCTGTTATACTATTTTGTGGGCAAGAAGGGTGGTCTAAGAGTAATGCTGGGATATTGGAGTTGCTTGTTTTCAATTGCATACTTCATGGATATTCCTGTGTTCCCATGATTTATTGGCTTTCTATTTTAAGAATCATTTTTTTCCTTTCTCTTCCAAATTTCCTATCTCATCCAGACATATTCCAGTTATTTATGGCCCTCAAGTGTTTCTAAAGCAGCTATCAAATTATCACTTGGTTGGTAAACTAGCTGTCAGATAAAAGTCTTAGGAGTATTTTAATTATTCGATTTCTGATTTTATTTGTTTATTCATGTTCTCTTATTGTTTCAGCAGTGGCCCAAAAGTGTGGTTCATAAGCCAGTGGGGCAGCATCAGTATCACTTCTGGACCTTCACTCTGAATTTCAGCCTGCGAATCATTGGTAATGGGGTCCACTCAGTGTGTCTTAATGAAGCCCTCAAGAACCATCAGTTATGTGCTAAAGACTGAGAACCAATTGTTTACATGTGGATAACTCATGTAGTGGTAAAAGTACCTCATCTGGGCAAATTTTAGAAATGTAGAATCCCAGAATACACTCCAGATCCACTACATTAGAAGCCACCTCTCACTTGTTCTCCAAGCAATTCAATTCTGAGAATTACCATGTTTATGTAATGTACTGAGGATATTTTCAGGGAGTTGAGAAATGTGACAGCTTAATTGGACAAGTGGTGAAAACGTTTTCAAGCACCAGTTTTTGAGCCCCAGTGCACCATAAACTGCTTAATAAAGTTCGGGGTGATGGCAGAGCTCAGGGTCTAGCAAGGTAGAAAGGGCATCTGCAGGGAAGATTCCATCATTAACATTGAATTCTAGCTGAGTATCCAGGAGAAGTTCTATTGAGAATGTTTGAGAAGCTGGAGAGATTTCTGCAAAGTGAAGGATAGTAAAAACAGAAGTTGGTGTCTTGTGCAAGCATGCAGCTGTAGATGCTTGGAAAGTGCTCCCTAGGGCAATGTGGAAGCCACTCTAATGGAAAGAAATATGTAAAGGGTCAGGGTGGATGGAGGTAGAACACATTCCTACACAGCCCAATGTCTCCTTGGATCCCCATTTCTTTCAAGGCTTCCCTGTCACCATCTTATAGGTAACTGGCTAGGGAATTTGAGGTGAGGGAGCAACTGGTGCTGGAGCATGGATTATTGGTGGTAGAATGTTAATGCAATGAGTTGTGGACAGTTAAGAAGTAAGATTCCATTCCCCTAAATGTAGTCTGTAGGCCACCACATCTGCCAGCTCTCCCTGAGTTGTCAAGAAGTGGCACAGATTCTACTGATTCCAATCCCTATTTCATCCTTCCTCAAGTCCAGTCCCCTGGATCCCACATTCAACACAGTCCCGAGGTAAAAGGAATGTGAGATCTGAGTTCTACAGCTACTTATTCGAATAAAGGGTACATTGATTTTTCCTCCCCGCTATAGGAGCGTACACCAAGATTCTGGCATTGCTGAATAAAGTACGTGGTGTCCCTGTGGGACCAGGTTTGCTACTGCAGTTTTCTTAGATGCACTAATTCTGCACATACTTAGTGTCAGTCACATTGCCTAATTGAAGTAGGGAACATCAGGATTTAGTGGATTAAGGGTCATCTAAATGGGTGGCAGAATTGAGGGGATATCCTTTCCATTGTTGTTTTCTACCCTCCTGCAAAGGCTGTGCCAAGTAATTTTTGAAGTGACTGTTCCATGCTTAATCTTTCATTTTTGTCTTACAACCTAGGGGTTGTGGAGCCTCCTTGTTACCACCTTTTAGGAGAAATAATGTAAGTGCTTTAAGGTGGGAGAATTTCCTACTTGTATGACTATGGATGTTGTAACTGATAAGATCTTGGCCTACATGAAGGAAAAAGTTTAGCAAAGGGTAAATGAGAGCAACAGCAAATAGAAGAAAGTTACACATAAGGAATTTCTAGGGCTCGAGAAATTACAGTAAATATTAGATTCATATTTGCAGTGCTGGTGGATGGGTGGGGATAATGTCTGTTAACATTTGTTTTAACTCTTGCCAGAGAAGACTTGGCATGTGACAGGATGTTGGACAATTGTTCAGAAACTGTCTGATTTGACCTCTCATTAATTGGCCCTGAAACCATCCTCAACTAGTGTTTTCCTCACTACAGTGAAAGGTCAGAGTCAGGAGTGGCTGTTTTGGAAAGCTGACTGTGGCAGACTTAGGCAAGGTAGATATGGAGGTCACCATCCCCAATTCCTTTGTTCTTGCTTGAGAGGACTACAGGCAAGACAATGCACTTACTAAAATAATGGAAAAGTTTACCAAAATGGATAGAAAATAGGGAAAGAGGACACTCTCAATGGAGACAGTCCTTAGAAAGGAGAAGGGTAGTGTACCCCTCCTCTACTCTCATTTTATTGGGAATCTCACAGATATTTTTAGAGGTCCATCTGAGGCAACCTGTTGAATTGATTGTAAGCAAAGTGACATCAGACTTTGAAATTCTGTCTGTGCATGCTAAATGTCCAAAGCAACTCCAGGGTAACTTTAGCCCCATGCTGACCAGTCCTAACTGGAACTTGTTTTTACAGATATTGTGGTTAAGGGTATTATCCTATTTCCCTGAGTTCTGGATTCTAATCTGTTTAAGGGTCAAAAATCCCCCCTTTCAAGGTAACATATATTCTTATGAGCATTTTGGGCCTGCATTTCTACTGCAGATAATAGGTTGTTTGTTGAGAATGTAAGATATCCTAATGGCTAAAGCCAGGCAGGACTGAAGGTAAATTACTTTTTAAATGAAGGTGGGTGTCAACACAATGGGCCCAATTAATAGAATTATTTCCTTAACCACACGTGCCCGTCAATTTTCTCTGTCACCTAGGAGCAGGAGCATTTTTATATTCATGTTTACCTCCTTGAGTATTGTTGGGCTCTGAATTTGCCTATTCCAGTTGTGTCCATCTCCCTTTCTTACCTTTGCACATGACTTTTCTTTCTGGCTCCAAAAGGTATTTGATACTTATACAACTCATAATCATTCCTTACAGTTCAAAATTTTTTGAAATCTATACAGGGCTGTGTTTGACTTTCTCAGATCACTTGTTAATCTACTAATATCTTCTACACTTTGCTCATCCAAAAAATAAAAAAAAAAAAAAAATTGGAGTGCTGGGATTTGAACCCAGGGCCTCACATATGTTCACAAGTTCTATACCATTCAACTACATTTCCACCCCTAATCCAAAATTTAGTAGTTTTGAGGCATCTGTGGATGAGCACAATGTGAGCCATCAAGCACATCTGCTAGTTACAGTAGGGAGCAAGTGTGCCCAACCATCTACCTGTTTCACTTGATTTTATAGGAATAAGGGATCTGGATTTTGAATTATCCTTTGCCAAAACTGGCTTCTTTCTTTTAATACCAGGGTATTTCAATTTTTATTTCATTTCTTGAAAAGGAGAATGGTTTCTGTAAGAAAAGAGGTGTTTCAGGAACTTTACATGTTCACTGTTATTTTCATATGATTGCATGCTGATTATGTTTTCTGACTGATGTACACTAGATGGAGTTTAAACATCAACTTACATATTTATAAAGGGATTATGTGTGTACATGGCTAGCATATTGCTGAGGGATTTTCCAGTTTTCTTGCCACATTGCCTCATTTGTATAGAAATGCCTCTTAATCTTAGCATGGCAGATACATACCAGAGGAAATCTTAAGTAGCCTGTC